TAGTCCCAGCTAATTTTTGTATTTTTAGTAGAGACAGGGTTTCACCATGTTGGCCAGGATGGTCTTGATCTCTTGACCTCGTGATCCGCCCACCTCGGCCTCCCAAAGTGCTGGGATTACAGGTGTGAGCCACCGCGCCCGGCCTAACCCCGCACTTTTAATCACAACAATATACTGCCTGCTTTTCATAAACTTTAAAAAAGTTAACCTTAAATTGGTTTCTAATTGCTAGGTTTTTTTCTCTCCTTAGGACTAAACACGATTTGGAAATTTCCTTGCAGTTCGTTTGCAGCCTTGTTTTCAAAGCCACTTCATGTCATTGGTAACTTCTTTCCATACTTACCCTAACAGAAAGAGAGGTACCCATCACATTGGTGGTGTTGATAGAGAACTGTACAAGACCATGTTCGTCTGTGGTAGCATTGGAGTGATAGTTTGCTTCATTTGCTCTGATGAATACGACTTTATTTGGCATAGGGACACCTTTCCCATCTACGAGGCGCACCTGAAGATTAAAAGCTGTGGATTAGTTATATAGATAATAACTAATAGGCACCAAACATACTCATTTTATCACATTTTTTTAGAGCCTCCTCTATGTTGAACATGGTTCCAGGCACTGAGGACACAGCAGTGAAAAAAACAAAGGTTCTCCCATCACAGAGCTTGTTGTCTAGTGAAAGAGAGAGATGCTAAATAAATATATAAATAACATACACTAATTTAGCAGTAATCAATTCTAAGAAGAAAAACAGGGTAGTGTGAAGGGATAGAGGGTGACAGGGATAATGACAAGAACAACCTGAAAAATGTGCTCCAGATATTTTGCAAATGCTGTGTATTATATATAAGTCTTAGAGTCACGGAGCACTAGAGTAATATGATCATGAAATATTTTAATCTATTAACTAAATTTATTTGTGCCTCAAACACCTATTTTGGGGTGGACCGTTAACTTCCTATGGATTAGTGTCTGAAGTCTCATAAGTACACTAGTAAGCAGTTGCCAATACATTGTCTTGTGTGTTTTTACAGCTGTGTTAGATATGGACTCTGCTTCTCAACCTAGATCTTCAGCTTTTTGGAAGGTAGGCAGATTTTATGACATACTTCCCATGTGAAAAATATACAACTGAAAAGAGGCACATAGTGTTAAATAAATCCCTAAAGCCATTTTACTGTTAGAATTGTATCTGCCAGTTCAGTAGCCCAATTCAGATTGTAAAGGTGGTGATTCTTTTTCAAGTATAAGCTACAGTTGGTAACAGGAAGAGCCGTAGGCTGACCTGCATCAGTACTCATAACTGATTTACAAAATCTAAGTTTGCCGGTGAAATGTTGGTTTATGTGCAAAGACAAGAATGGACACATAATTCTGATTTCCTTCTAGCTAGAGAGTCTTATGACACATAGGATCATTATTTAACAGCAATAAAATATATTTTAAAAGTACAATATCTTTCTGAGAAATTTACAAAGGAGCTGCACTTTCATTTTAGAAAGTTGAATCCATTTTGCTGTCATGATATAACCAAGACTTCTAAGATGTACTCCACTTTGTTGAGACCGTGCTTCTGTCTTTTATACCCTTCATAGCTGAAATCGTACATTTACATTAAGAAAATGATACACAGTTAGTACACACTGAAGCACCTGTAACTGTCATCTTAGACTTCTAGAGTCATAAAAATCCACTTGCACCTCTGCTGACAACAGAAAACTTGTAACAGAAGATTTTTTTGGGTAAATAATATAAAAATTCATAATTCGAAAATCTGAGAACCTTAAGTAACAGTGTTTTACCCCATGTTCACTGTTTTAAAAATATATTTTTTATTATAGAAAAATAGTGTAAATATAATATCCATGAAATAAGCATTATAGTTGAATCTTTAATACTTCAAAATAAAAATTAAAACCACTTACCCACCTATTTCCATACAGTTAGTGTTAGCATGGTAATAAAGCTGGTCAGCATGAGTTTTGAGATTCTTGTGATAAAATGTCATAAAAACCTGAGGCTGCCTGGTAAACCATGAGGAGATTGAGTGACTTGTACAATGCTGTTTCAAAAAGAGGGGAAAAGCTCTACTAATTTTAATAAGGCTTTAGGATAATTATATACATTTCATATACAAATTTACAGAGGAATAAGTCTATTTTTATGTAGTTTTATACCTTTGGTTAGGCTAATCAAGCCTGGGTGATATTTTATACCTTTGGTTATATTAAAGGATCACATTAACCAGGCACGGTTTTAGGAGAAACCATAACAGCACGTGGTTTGATGAGTGAACTGGAAAATACTCCACCTGCCCAAAGAAGGGAATCCCTTGTCTAAAGTTTGAGTCCACTTTCACAAATGAGAGTTTGGTGATGGTTCTTGTGATTTCACTAGTCCCCCTTCCAGTCAGCTCCACCTCTGAAAAAAAAGAAAAGCATATGTTCCTTTTGGGAAGGATGATGTCTCTATAATTCTATCACCTCCCGCCCCCAACCCCCGCCTTACATTTCATTATGTGGCTAAAAACAACCAATGCTTATTGTTTCTTCTCCCACACCCATGTAGTACACAAACCTGTCCCTTCTTCTTGGATCTTGGCCTCAGTGTGAAGTTTCATTTCATACTCCTTCCTCTTCAGCTGGAAGACCTTGGTTTTTAGTTGCTGAGAGAAGCAGCCGTGACTGTTCAGCTAAGAGGCGAGAAAATAAAATACAGGAACACAATGCATATTACACCAGAGAGATCAGTGGTCAGGTCGCCTGGTGTGATTTTTGTGACGGACAACGTCAAATAGGCATTTTCTATGATGAGGACACAATAAATATTCTCTAGCAGCTAAATATTACATTTCACAACAATATCTCATGTATAATTAACAGGTGTATTTTTTAGTATGTGAAATTCCTTAGATACGATGCGATAGAAATTCCTTAAAATTTGGGAGGGTAATTTTTTTTTGTACAAAGGATGCATATTTTTTGTACGTATTTATGAAGTACATGAGACATTTTGTTACACGCATACAATATGTAATAATCACATCGTGGGATTTACGGTGCCTACCAACTGAAGTATTTATCATTTCTATGTGTTGGAAACATTTCAAGTCCTGTGCACTTGCTATTTTGAGACACACAGTACATCTGCTCTTCACCATTAAAACTCCTCATCAAAGCCTGGTTCCTCCTCCATAGCATTCAGCTGTTGCTGGGAAGTGGCCTCCCATATGGGGACTGTGTTCGCTAACTCTCTGGCATCTTGGTGGGGCCGTGTAACAGGTTCTTGCTCACAGAGAGAGCAGAACTGATGCCCTGGCCAGCTAAGGCAGTTAAGAGGAGTGTGGTTTTTCTCCTTCCTTTATAGAAGTTGATGCCCATGGAGGATTTGGATGGATGGCTCAGCATCTATCATTCTGAAACACTCAAAATAAATAATTTCCATTGTGCTAAGTTCATGATTTTGGGACACATTACAATAGCCAACCTGGAATTATCTTCTGGATTGTTCTCTTCCTGAGAAAAGAACCATGCTGCAATTCACTTCACTGCTTTTCAACAATGCCTTCATTGTTATTTCCTGGAAAAAAAACAGTGTTCGACCTACCTGCCCACTAAATTTCTCGCAGTAAGCCTGTGACTCTTCACCAAAGCAGTCAGAAACATCATTATACTTTCTGCAAATGCTCACAGTCACATGTCCTGGGACAGGCTTCCCATATGTATATCTGTGATGAGAACATTCCCAAGGGAATCAGAGCAGACACCAAACCTCCCCATTTTCTAGCTATTTACATCTCTCCTTTAGCTACAGTGTATTCCCCATCTGTACTTCCCTCTCTCTCTGCTGGGCTCACACAGTGTTGAACACAAGTGTCACTAATGGCCCTTATAGAAATCACCATTGCAACATGCTGAAATTTACTACATTCTTCTTTTGTCATTTCTTTTTCTTAATCTTTTTTCAGTTTTATCTTTAGAAAGTCTTCATTATTATAAAACTTAAACCTGTTCTTTTTTTTTTTTTTTTTTTTTTAAAAGGGGTTTCCCCCTTTTTTCCCAGGCTGGGGGGGAAAGGGGGCACCCTGCGCACCCCGACCTCCCCCCCCCCGGTTC